TGATACATAAGATAGTCTCAATACATATTTGTTAATTGACTGAATAGATTAATCCTGTTACCAAGATCTTCCCAAGTTAAAAAAAATATATCATTTCTAAAATTTTCATAGGACTCTATTCAGTTGATGTATTAAAATTAACTAAACTCCATTTTTCTTTCCATTTAGAACAATTTGAACTTTTTATTACTTTTTTAATGAAGTCCTTGATGTTTAAGTTTTGGTATCAATAATTGCCTTCAACCATTGTGGAAGACAGCATGGCAATTCCTCAAGGACCTAGAAATAGAAATTCTATTTGACCCAGCAATCCCATTACTGGGTATATACCCAAAGGATTATAAATCATTCTATTATAAACACACATGCACACATATGTTCACTGCGACACTGTTTATAATAGCAAAGACCTGGAACCAACCCAAATGCCCATCAATGATAAGACTGTACAAGGAAAATGTGCCACATACACACCATGAAATACTATGCAGCCATAAAAAACAATGAGTTCATCTCCTTTGTAGGTGCATGGATGAAGCTGGAAACTATCATTCTCAGCAAACTGACACAAGAACCGAAAATCAAGCACTGCATGCTCTCACTAATAGGCGGGTGTTGAACAATGAGAACACATGGACACATGGAGGGGAGCATCACACACTGGGATCTGTTAAGGGGGATTGGGGAGGGACAGTGTGGGGTAGGGAGGTTGGGGAGGGATAACATGGGGAGAAATGCCAGATATAGGTGACAGGGCAGGAGGGATGGAGGCAGCAAACCACATTGCCATGTATGTACCTATGCAACAATCCTGCATGATCTGCACATGTACACCAGAACCTAACATTAAAAAATATATATTAAAAAATAAGTTGGAAGAAGACTAGGAAATTGGCTGTGTCAGACTAGCTGAGACCATGATTACAACTATTAACTTGGAAATTTTTCTAGATACATGAGATAAAGCAAGTAATTTTATCATCCTCTTTCAGGAAATCTCTTGAAGTCCATGAATTTTGCTTCCTTTATTCCAGACTAATAATCTGTTATATTATTAGAGGGCACAATTTTTCAGGTCATGGCTTTCAGATTATTCAAAGTCAAGGAATCTCCATATTTAAAAATTATTCAAAATACAGAAAATTTGATGATCCATTTCAAAAAATAATAATAGTTGCCTTAGGATGATCTTGGAAGCAAAATTCTAGGGTCAAATGGCATGCATATTAGAAACATTTTGCCAACCTGCTTTTAAGAAACACTGATACAAATTTACACTTTCAGCACAATGTATGAGGGTCCTTAATGTTCCACAGTCTCAACAATGTTAATATCAATTTTCTTTTTAAATTTACCTGTGCCCCCAACCCATGACTAAAAACAGGTCAATGGTGAGAGATAAAGTGGTGCTTAAGTACTTTTCCACTACACAATTTCACTTTACCTGAGTTGGATGAATCACAAAATCATTTACATATCCATGAATTAAAAGTTGGTGTAATAAGAAAATATTGCTTTATAATGTGATACACCTCATTTACTAATTTCTTCATTAAATAATTCTAATGTGTTTTATTAGTCACACAACACTAAAGGGTATACAATAGACTGATTGTGGATTTATTATTTCCTTCTTTAATTTAGTTTAATGGAAATGAGTTTTTTTCCTTCTTAAGGATATGCCAAAAAAACACTTTACTCATAGATAAAACCATTTCCATATTTCTTAATAAAGTTATAAAGTAATTTGAAGTAAGTACATGGCTATGAGTTGTTGAATGTCTTATAAGTTCCATAAATCTCATGAGATGACAATTATTCATGTATGTATCAACCTCAGTTCTTAACACTTTTACCTACAAATGTAAGATATCAGTAATCGATTTTAATCTTCCAATAATTCTATGTATAGGTAGAAAGATAACAATGTACATTTTTTTTGAGATGGAATTTCACTGTTGTTACCCAGACTGGAGTGCAATGGCACGATCTCGGCTCACCACAACCTCCGCCTTCTGGGTTCAAGCAATTCTCCTGCCTCAGCCTCCCAAGTAGCTGGGACTACAGGCACGCACCATCATGCCCAGCTAATTTTTGTACTTTTAGTAGAGACGGGGTTTCACCATGTTGACCAGGATGGTCTCGATCTCTTGACCTCGTGATCCACTCGGCCTCCCAAAGTGCTGGGATTATAGGCGTGAGCCACCACGCCCAGCCCATTTTTTTTAAGTTCTAAGAGGCACAGCATTCTTTATAGTAATGTCATGACCCAAGTAACAAACATACATATCATGCTCTCCAAATTAAGTCAATCTTATAGTTTTATTTATCTGTACATGTATATATACATATAACAATACTAATAATTTTATCTGATATATAAGAAATTTGGCATCCAATCAAAAAAGGCCTTTCCATTGGTATTGAACCAAAACAAAATTACCAGTGCTTAAATAAGAAATAATAGGGTAAAGAAATATTTCTTTCTTATTTTATTACTAAGAATATTATGCTATGAAAGACTATCATTCACAAAATAAACACTGACACACAGCATATAACAAATAGAATTATCACTGTATCTTTTGATTATATAATAATTTTTTAAAAATCAAATGATATCATGTATTAGTTGTCCCTAGGAAAAGTTAGATGCTAAATTACAAACAGAAAGGGACTATTATCATTTTAGATCAAAAACAATATTAGTATGTATATATTACTATTAAAAATAATAGAGAATTCTTTGTTACATTGATTAAAAAAAAACCTGACCTAAATAAAACTCAATTAACAGTTAAGAACCTATTTAGAGACTTGATAATATCACACTTGAATCTTTTCCTTGATTAGATCAATGTAACAGAGTCTAGACAAAGGAAAGTTAATCTTTAATTACCAGAATACTGCATGATATTAATTGAATTGGCCCTGGGCACCTACTAAATTTATGTTAGAGAAATATTTTGGATGGTATACCTTAAGGTAGCAGATTAAATTTAAAAGAACAATTCCACAATTACTACAATATCTACATGTTAGAGGATATAAAATTCCGTATATCATAATATCAGATAATAGCCTCAGAAGTCCATATGGCTTTTTCTAATATGTTGATTATATAGGCATGTGAGGTTTCTGTTATCATCCCTTTGAAATATGGGCCACTTTAATATGCAGGATGGCAAACTTCATGGATTACTGGTATTGAACAACGTAATAAACTCTTCATTTCATAAGCTGTCTACTCTGCAGTTGTATAGTAACTTTGACAGTCACTATGTCTTTGACTTCCAAATAATAACCATCTTTAAGATGAAGACATTTTCCTTACCTCTCAAATTCCTTTAGAAGCTAGTGTTGGCTTAACATTAAGAAGACACATGTTTCATATTATGATAAGATCTTATACTTCAAAGGAGCTTCAAGGGTTCTAAAAATGACTTTGAAATATAGTCTCATTAATCTTTTGTATTTTCATGAGGCAAGTAGGCGACAAATATCTCAATTGTGAAAAATAGAAACTAATGTAACAATTATCTTATTTACTTGCCCTGTGCTAAATACTGAAGAAAGAAAAGTCACAGTGTCAATCCTGGCACTTAACCGAAACTCTAATTTTGCATTCCATTGTAAGAATTTTTATGCAGGGGAGAGTAAAGGAAGACAGACAAAAAATATCAGAAAATATGATACTCAACATAATCTACTTCATGAGCCCTAGAGATTAATATTATTTCTTATTTACTTGATTGTGCTTGATGATAGTAATGGTGCTGTAACTCCAAAGACTTACTTCCCTGGGTGACCACATATTGAGTGTAGTCAGGGACACACTACAGGAGTTTGAATCCTACTTCACAACAAAGCTAAAATCGGGCAAAATCAACCATGGTGCAATAACTCAAGAGAAGAAAAAAAATTAAAAGTTAAATTTCGACTTAAAATGAACCTAAAAGCTGCCAATATGCCTGATTCCTAAAAGGCAATGAGAAACAAAGCAAGCCTCTGGATCTCAGGCTAACTTGGTGGACAAGTTATATTCTCCTGCTTTGGTTTTTCATTTAAAACTTTGAAAAAAAAAGTTTCTTCATTCTGTTTCATTTTTTTCTCCATATTCTCATAAAAATTCATTACAACAGTTTGGTTGTTTAGTGGAAATACGTTTGCAAATTACTGATAAAAATGATTGTTCCTGTTCTTTATCTAGTTTTCCTGTGGAAAATAGCACAGTAACTGACTTATCTTCATTTCCAGCAAGAGTTGTTGCATTCATTTTTAGAACAAGAATGCTATTACTGATAGCTAAGACAATCCAAATCTCAAAAACTAAACTTATTTCTGGAATTGTAAATGCTCAATTAAATGTGTATCTTTATGTAGCTGCTTTCCTTATATTAGAAGAAAATAAAAATAATTCCATATAACTGGCTTGATGTCTATCTTCAATATTATTGATTTTGAAAATCAGAATAAAGTGCCTTTCTCCTCTTACAACTTTAGCATATTATGAATTCTGTTTTTCCCCTAATAGAATGCTAGATTACTTTACTAGCATTAGTAAAAGTGGTAAAATTGTCTTTGGTAAAATTAAGAGACATAACCTGTCCACCTCGCTACCCAAGATCTTCTTATATTTGAAAAAACAACTTAAATATTTCACTGAAGAAGTATTTGCCTTTTTGGTTTTGTCCTACACACTTAAGAGAGGTAAATGCAAATGTGTATTTACAATTACAGTAAGTCCTCACATCACATCATGGATAGGTTCTTGGAAACTGCGACTTTAAAAAAAGGATGTACAACACAGCAGGTCCTCAGATAATGTTGTTTAGTTCAATGTTATTTTGTTACAGCACTGATGAGAAAAATGGTTTTGTTCTACATTATTTTACTTAACTTTACAGTCTTCAAGAACCTATCAATGACTTTGGCTATTTTAATATTGAAACCTTAGAATTTTTTTTCCTAATAGCTTTATAAGGACTATCTAGACTTACCTGGCCCATCAGTCATTTTTTCTAGGCACCGAGGAGTTGCACTAAGAAAAGAGGCATGTTTTCTTCTAGCCACTAAACTACGAGGTGGCATATATTTATGCTTAACTTGGGACATCTCATATGATTTGTGAACATCATAGCTGCCTGGTGCTGGAATAACCTGAAAAAAAATTTAATAGATGAGCATAAATACATATTACATAAAAAATATTCAAGAAGGTATCAGGTAGATGGTTATAGTAAGCAATGAGTGGAAAAATCCTAAAACTTTTATTAATTAAACATTAAAAATAGAAAGTTAAAAAATGATTCTTAAATCTATATCCTCCTAATAAAAAATGTAAATTTACTTGCTGAAGTTAAAAGTAAAATAAACAGAATTATGAACTTTAAGACCATATTATTTAAAAACTAGCTTTCATGATATAGATGATAAAATATATTCTAATTTAATTATGAAGATCAAATTGCATACAGGATTAAGAGCAATGATTACCTGTTTCCCTAAGCAGCAGAACCATTCCTGTTTTACTGTTCTAAGTGAACATACTTCACTTATTCAACCAACTAAGAATGCTTATTTCATTTTTAATAGATTACAATTAAGTTAGAAGGCTTCTTCTTTCATCATTTATGGTTCTTTATATGATCTGCAGTCATAATAACATTTTTAATCAGCATGAACCAACATGGATATGAGTAAATACAATAATAATTCTAAAGTAAATGAAATATAAGTGCGATATATTTGTTGGACAAGCAATGCCTTCAACAATTAGTTAATTTTCCCAGTGAAAACATTTTTAAACTCATTTCCTAAAATTATTTTAAAATAACATATTCCTTTGAAATCTGTTCACCTAGATTATGTATAAAGACCAAAACTTTTTAAGTGTGAATAATTTCCCAGTAGGCAGGAAAGTGTTATGGCCAAGCATATGGACTCTGTCACTAGACTTCCTGGGTTCTAAATATCTGCTGCTTACAGCGGTGTGACCTTAACCTCTGTGATCCTCAGTTTTCACATATGTAAAGTAAGAAAAATTATAGTACTTATTTTATAATATTCTGAGGATTAAATTAGTTAAAATGAATAAAGTACTTAGCTTGGTACCTGTTTCTATAAAAGGATTAAGCTAATCTTACTATTCTAGAAAATTTACTTTAAATGCAAAAAAAAAAAAAGGGCTGAACAATCAAGGTTTGAGGTAACAGGGAAGTATTTTAAAGTTTCAAATAAGTCAAACAAATTTGGCTACTGGAAAGCATATTTTTGAAGTTCCTCTAGAAGCCATATTTTAGAAAATATATTTTTTCTTGTTCCTTATATCCATATTATCACCCTCAAGCATATGCTAACAACATTATCTTCCACTTCCAAAGAATCACAAAATATGGCAAGATCATGACTAGGGTAGGAGATTCTTACGTGAAACCCCACTTCTGGTTTGAGTCCCATGTTAAACATGAAATGTCATGATAGATAAGTCATTAACAAATGCTAGAAGCCATTTTCTTTTTGCCCACATCAAAAGTATATATAGTAAGGGTAGACTGAAAATAAGCAATAGTGGCAATATTTCCATAGATGACTTGTGTATCTTTGGGGCTGCCTCTATAGTATGTGAAAAAAGACTGGAAGAGATTATAAAAGCACAAAGAGATCCTGTGCACACAATATGCCCAGTGTATTCAGCAAAGTTTGCAAAGACCTTAACTGTGCCTACTATACATTTTAGTTTTCTTATCAGAAGCCACTATTGTTCCCACTTCCCTTAATACCCTGCCTAGTGTCATCTTTTATTTCTTCTTCCAGTGCCTAGACTGAATATAATTGGTAAGTTTGGCTACAGCCACACAGAAACTATTTTTCTCTAGTAACTTGAAGCAAAGACAAGAAACTGCATCAGTGATCAGTGTTCTTTAAAAATAGTTTGTTCATACCTGGAAAAGTTTGTCAAACTAGTTTCTTAAATTCCAGTAAATTCACTGCCTCTCCTAAAAATCCAATGTATATAACCGTTGTTCATGACCACCTCTTCCTACGCATATTTATTCTTCTCTGAAACTTATTACCTGCTTGTCTACTTTACTGATGTTCCTGCCTCTTCCTAGTCATCTTCAATTCTCATTTTATCTAACCAAGAGATTAACATTTCAAGTGGTAAGTATCCTAAGCAAATGATTAATAGGACAAATCTGAAACTCTGTCTAACAACATTTTAAACAATACCTATATACTGTATATAAGTATATATACCCTACATAAGTTGAATACCCAACTTATATACCCTACATAAGTTGAATACCATGTCAGGGAAAAATAGTATGTGTAGACAAAATCATCAAATTTGTTGGTGAATCTTTATACATCACAGAAAATAAAGAAGGGACATGAAGAATAGATGTAATAGACATTTCTCATGGTTTTTTAGGTTTTTTTCTTTTTTGCTTATTGCATGACTTTTTTTCTCATTCCAATATTTAAACCCTGTTCCTGCATTTGGGAAATTCCACATTATGCAGCAGAGAATCTGTGTCCTAACACAAAAGCTAAAAATGTCTGGCTCTCATCTTCCTGGTCTCCTTTTTAGCTAGCACATGAATCTTGGTCATAGGTATAAATGTTAGCCTTTGAATTGTCTGCCAGTTGTTTAAAGAAACACAGAGTATTAAAAATGTCATTCTAGTGAGAGGACTAGCAATCCTGGAAGCCATGTCCAGTTTCCAGAGACAACAGTGGGAAGACAAATTGAAAGAGGAAATTACAGACTCAGGGAAAATGTCAGAAAATGACTAATGAAATAAAAGATACACATGAATAAAATTTAAAGGTAAGTCTAAAGTGTCCTGACTTCCTTATCTGGAAAACCAGAACCCTACCCTAAAATAACATAAAGAAGCACAGAATTAGCATAATTAATGTACACAAAAATTTTAGAATGTTTTCTGACACATAAGGAGTACCACTGTTGTCTTTCATTGTTATAATCATTACCATTGACATTATTATCTTTATTAGGTATAGGACTACAGGAATCCCTTAGTGATATCTCTCTTGCCTGAAGAGAGATGCTAATGGGATATTGAAAGGGAAGTCTCTAGTATTTTAAGCTACAAACAAACAAATCAAAATTAGGTAAGTTGTTGAGAATCACATAAAGACTGTTCCAGGAAGTTAAAAAAATTCACTGGTTTCAACCTACTTCAAAAGAAGGTGGGTCAGCCTGTTTGTATTTTAGCAAAACCATTTCACATATTTTGTGATTTTACTCATTCCTGTCAAGTCAAAGTCCCTGCAAAATTCTACATGCTCAATACCCACGCAATAACTCACTTAAAACTCAAACCTAACTGACCTGTAGCCCCAGAGACAAAGAGATTAACATTTCTTGGTCTGATTTCATACAAATTCAGAATTTGTATGAACAAAATTCAGAATTTCCAACTGAGTGAAATCTGAAAAACTCAGAATTTTTCCAATTTCATTCAATGTTCCCTGCTATTTTGACATGTGAAATTTCATATACTCTGATTTCAGACATGTGAAACTGCATGTAGGCTCTGATCTTCAAAACTTTGGTTACCAAACATCAACAAGTAAACCCCTGAGCATTCAATTCCTACATTGTCTCTCAGTAATGGAGCATTCAATTCCTACATTGTAATTGTAGTAATGGAGCATTCAATTCCTACATTGTCTCTCACATTGTAGCATATTGCAAATAAAAATTGACCTCAAGTTTTAGTCTCAGAATAAAATTTTCCTTTACCATGCTATGGTAAAAAAATCTGGAAATATTTTCATTTCATATTCATTTTTGAATAATAATTTTACTAACTATAGAATTTTTGCTTGACTTTTCTTGCTCTCAGCATTTTGCATGTCATTTCACTAATTTCTGGCCTCCACTGATTCTGATGAGAAGTCTACAATTAGTGATATCTTTTCCACTATGTAAGTTCTTTTTTCTTGTTGCTTTCAAGATGTTATCTTTGTTCTCTTTCACTAGTTTGACTATAATGTGTCTAAGTGTGGATTCTACTTAAATTTATTCTACTTGGAGTTCACTGAACTTCCTGGATTCATAGATTCATGTTTTTTATTATTGGAGAGTTTTCAACAACTCTGTCTTCAAATATTTTTTCTGCTCCTTTCTTTCTCACCTCTCCTTCTGGGTCTTTTATTATTCATATACTGGAATACTAGATATTGACCAACAGGTCTCAAACTACTCATATTGTTAAATCTTTTTCTCTATTTCTCATAACTAATGATTTCTATTGATCTGTCTTTCAGTTCATTAATTATGTCTTCTGTCCTCTCAAATCTTCTAAGTCCAGTTAGTAAATTTATTATTTATGTGTTTGTACTTTACAACTCTAGAATTGTTTTAATTCTTTTGTTTGTTTCTTTGCTTGCTTCTATCATCTATTGAGATTCTCTATTGGCTCACTGCTAGCATGTTTTTCTTTAGGTCCATTAATTCTTTGAAAAAAATTTTAATAGCTGATATTTACCTATCTAATAAGTTTTGGTTGAAAAGTGGATATTTTAAGATAAGATAGCAACTCTGGATGTTTTTCTTTAATGAGATTTGCTGTCCATTTCACCTAAGTTTCAAATTTCAAATATGTTAAGAATGCAAACTGTTTGCTTATTGCTTTCAGAATCTGTAAAGATGTCCTTATTTTCATTTCTGAAATTTGTCATTTGAGCCATGTCTCATTTTTTCTTAGTAAGTAACAATATAAGGTGGTTTATTCTATTCTGCCTCTTAAGATAAATAGATTTATCTAAATATATACAATAGGTTTCCCTTTATGTTTGAATTTGTCTCTTTCTCCTTAAAGTTATGTTAATATTTGGTTTGCATATATGTGAAGCTGTGCATACAAGTTTAAATTATCATATTATTCTAATTAATTTAACCTTTTAAAAATATTGACAGGCCATGATTGTTTACTTCTAAATTGCTTTTTGCTTTAACATATTTTATCTGGAATCAAAATAGCTACTCTTGGATTTCCACCAATGAGTAAGTTTTGATAAACCATTGTTACCTCTGCATTAAATTTCAGAGACAGTAAAATTTTTTAATTATTGTTTGAAAGATATCAGAGATTGGTAACAATAAAAGGATTTTTGTACTAAATTCC